CTTTAAAAAAGAAAAAAGAGATCACGGGCATGTGTTGAATTACAAGGCTGTACACCTGAAACTAACATGACACTGTATGTTAACTAACTGGAATTCAAATAACAACTTCAAAAAAAAAAAAAGGCCTAAGACAACAGCCGTGTGTTTACCAGCATGAAAACACAGTGTATGTGAAAACAAAAAATTACGGGCACAAGGAAAATGCAGTTATTCAGAAACTGCCATTTGCTCAGTCTGGGGTGCAGCCAGGGGGCTCACAAATCCATGTTAACACGTCAGCTTATGCAAATGGCTTTCACTACACTCGGGGCCTTGAGATTTGTAAACCAGGAGTTTCTCTGCTCATCTATGGCAAATGCTCCAAAGTCATCCCCTCAGAAAGGGCAGAGCGGGCAAGAGAAAGGCAAGGTGGCAGGCCAGGCTTATCGGTGAGGCACTTGCTATACAACTCTTCTTTTCCTTGTATACGAGAGTTAAGACTTACTCCTAACAAATGATGTGGAGACAATGTATCACACAGAAATCTTAGGCAGAAAAAGCTAGAACAAAAATAACATACATATTTTCATTTCCACTTCTTCTAAACCCGTCTTTCCATTCTTTGCCCCCCAAATCTCAATTATTTCGTTTCACCAACTTCCCACAGCAGTGTCAGGTGAACGCAGACTATCTCAGCGGTGGTGTTACCTTCTGTTTCTTTTTCCTTAGCTGTCCGCCCAATTGAGCTTCAAAGACAATCCAAGAGTGACCTCTTGTGGCAATATTAAGTTTTACCTGCAACAAGTCAGGCTTTAAAGCTTTTACTAAGGCATTATGTTCTAATTGATCAGATAATCAATTAGATTATTTTCTTTCATGAAATGGCTTTTTTGCATCACGCAAAGATGGCGCCAATAATGTCAAGTGCATGTACCCTGCGTTACCTGTGTGGTTGTCCTGCCAGGTGGGGAACAGCTTAGTCCAGAATAGGAAGAAGAAAAGGAGAGGAGGTGGCAAAAAAATCTACAATGTGTGCCCCCAAAAAGCTGGACTTTTCCTGGCAGAGGTAATAGGGGTGGTTTAAAGGGGATCTGAAAAAAACAGCTGCCCATGAACTCTGGTTAGTTGATTCTGCATTTTGAAAAGCAGGGGTTGGGGGCACCTGGGTGGTGCAGTCGGTTAAGCGTCTGACTTCAG